TTGCCTATGAGGGAAGGCTGGAGAGTCTGCTGGGACCTTTCAGTTTAGAAAAGAGATGACTAAGGGTGGGGGCGGGGGCGTGATAGAAGTTTATTTTCTCCCTCTCCCAAAACAGTAAAACTCAAGGGCATCCAGTGAAGCTGATGGGCTGCGGGTTCAGGACGGATGAAAGGAAAGGAAATGCTACTTTACACAGAGTGATTAAAATGTGGAATTGGCTGCCAGAGGATGTGGCACCCTCTGAGGCATATCAGGGGAAGGCCTCAGCCTCTATGCCCTGTTGCTGTCCCTCCAGGGGAACTGGTTGGCCCCTGTGAGAGATGGGACCCTCACTGGTCTGATCCAGCAGGGCTCTACTTATGTGGGAATCTGAACTCGGGTTCAAAGTACACTGGCATTCCAGCCTGTGTTCTTGTAGTCTGGCAGGGCCTTGGCTCATTAGTGGTAGGAAAGAAACGGAAGTTTCATGTTTGTCGAATGCTAAATTCCAGAGCACCACTGAGAAATAAATCCAGAGTGTTCCAGTTTGTAACACACCTTTTCCGTACTAAAAATGTCGAATTTTGAAGGGGGGGGGGAGATTCTGAATGCTTCAGCACCATTTCAGGAATTATTGAAACTGCAGCCTCCCAAACCCCACTTGAAAACACCTCCCCTCATTTTAGCAAAAATAAAAAATGGGATACCATGCCTTTGTGGCTCAAGCAATCTTTATTTTGTGTTTATTATTTTTAAACCATTTTTAAAAGTTTGTTTTTAATACAGGTAACTTAAATGAGGTGATAACAGGTCTACGCATCCCTCCCCTTCCCCCCAGCACTCTTTCAGCACACACACATACACACACAGAAGAATTGTTTTTAATGCTTTTTGCTCTTATTTGTTTTGCTGTTTTTTTAAAATAAAAAACAGAACAAAAAAATTCAGGATGAGAAGGTGGAAAAATGGATGACAGGGAAACACACATGTCCGCACACATACATCATACAAAAAAAAGTAGTACACTTAAATATATAATAAAAACATTTCAAAAATTAAAAAAAACCCTCTACAGCATCACATACAAAAGGAATTTCACATCTAGGGGAAAAGAAACAGGAAGTGTAAGGACATTTTTTTGACCAGAGGGGGAGCAGTACTTCCCTCTGGTTGGCAAGGAACTACCACCAAAACTTTCCATAGAAAGAAAAGAATGGATACAGATCTTGGTGGCAGCGGTGGGACCATGCGTTTTAAATACACAAAAGACACCTGGGTAGAAAGGAGGAGGGGAAGATGCTTGCTACATATCAGGGTGCTAGAGGCAGGAAGTGCACAAGTAGAATTATTAAGTCTTAAAAGCTGGTCATCCAACAACACCCCCGCCCCCGAGTTAATTTCAACATAACTCTTTGGACTCTCTCTGGAAGACGCAGTTTTGCCTTTCAATGGGATTCTGGATTTTATTAATGATAAAGGATTCGTCCTGCGCAGTTTCCATATTCAGCAAGCCATGCTTTTCCTGGGAGCATTCTCAAAGGGGGGGGGGAGGAATCAATTCAGCACAAGCTAGCCATCATTAAACGTTCATTCACAGAAAATTAATTCTAGTTTCTAAAACGAGAGGGTTCCTCCACCCCATCCCACCCCCAAATCAAGTCTCCAGCACTTGGGAAGCTCCTGAAACTTAGGAGATGTTAAAGAGGCTTGGTTGGCCTCAGCCATCCTATTTGAGGGAGCAAAAAGAGCCATGGGGTTAAAGTTATACCTGTATTAAATGGGTGACCAGTCCTCCCCCCAATCGTACCCATTCAGACATTTGATGCAAATTTTTGTTGCAAGCTTTGAACAAGTCTCTGGACACAAATTTTCCATGGCGGAGGAATGGGGCGAATCCCCCAGATTTCTATTCAGGTTAATCCAGATTTCCGAAGAGTACAAGGGGGGTGGGGGAGAGAAGAAATATAGCATTGGAGGACAAATGTAGAAATGGCCACTTTCCACGGGCACCCAATGAGAAAAGGTTTTGCTCCACCTCATCAAAAGCATGGAAACTTTGCAAATCAAAGGTATTTTGGGGGTGGGGCTGACAGCCAAGACAAAAAACAATAAAGTACACTAATTCTCCCATGTCCAAAGCCAGCACTCTCTTGAGACATCAGAGGCTTTTCCAGGACCTCTCTCTCCCGCCTGCCCCCCCCCGCATCTCCTGTTGAGGGTTTCCCGTCTCCAGGAAGAAGTCCTTCAGAGGATGCCCAGAAGGCAAAAACAACATGGTCCCCAGGGATGAACTTCGCGAGGGAGGAGGGATTTATCACAAAGAAATAATTCCAAAAAATAAAACTTGAGTGATGGCTGCGCAAATGATTTCCAGAGTGAGGCACTTGCTCCAGAAGTCTAGTTCTGGTTTGCTTTAAATAATTCCCTGCTTTAAAAACACACGCACGCACAAACACATTGAACGACAAATAGTGTTTTAAAAAGACCTCTCTGGACTAAGGCCTCAGCCAGTTATCAATGGAGACCACCCGCCCGCTGCCTTTCACCAGGATCCAACCATCTGCTCATAAAGAAAGGTGTGCGATTAACTACTGATCTCGAACCAATTTCGTGGGGATGCTCAAACAAAGAGGGTGTATGGGGTAGAGGCAGGGAAGAGGGTAGGGGTTTTTGAGCCCCCCAACTTGTGAGGGGGAAAAGCTATTCACAGACACTCTCTCACGTGCTTCCCAACTCCAAAATCGGTGCAAGCAGAATAAGGCCCAAAAAAAGAGAATCACACCCAAGTGTCTCAACAGAAAAGAGCACCACTATTAAGTTCGGGGGGTGGGGGTGTTTGCTGTTGTTTTAGCTTCCCAAGTGGCAAAAAGGCCCCCCCACAAAAGAATCCCAACTCTACAAACGACATGAAAACTAGCCCACCTTCAGCCCCAAAGCATTGTTTGAATGCTAGTCTTAAATGTGGGTATATCATCTGTCCTGGCTTCTCCATAACAGCCCATGGCGGGTACAGTTTTTGGAAGTGGACTAGTAAGATGCTGGGAAAACTATGTGTGCCGGACCATCTCATATCTGTCCCCCAGCACACAGGCGTATATCCTCAAAGGGCCAATTTCTGTTTTCAAAGAGCAGATTATTTAAATATACTTTGCATTGCTGGAAAATGAGGGCCGGGTAACAAAAGGATTAAGAAAGCCAATTCTTCCTTACTGTTCATGCATTCCCCCCTTCTTTTATGTTCCCCCACCCCACACACAAACACACACACACGCACACACACCCCGCATGTGGTTCTGCACAGAAAAGAGACAAGAACAATTTCTACAGCCTATGAAAAGTTACTGGCTCAGATCATTTTTTTAAAAAGTCTATAAATAATAATTAAAAAATAAACATTCCCCCAGTATCTATACAAGTGTTCCCAGATACTTGTGTCACTTTACTTAACAAAAAAAATGTGAGAGATGGAAGAGGAAGCGTGGTCTCTACAACAGAGGGCCAGTGTTGTATCCCTGCACAAACGCAGGCAGACCCGTGGACAGGCAAAGGGGTGTATGCCACACAGTGGACAACGGGCCATGTCAAGGTGGTGTCAGCCTAGGGGGATGGCGGTGGAAGTACTGGGTTATAAGCAGTCTCTACCACGGGTGCCCCGTCCCAAATGGGAAAGAATGCACAATTCCAAAGAAGGTAGCGTGAAAAGGTGGTGAATCAGAGACGGGATTTGTGCACCAGCAGGAGCACAGACAGAACGGAGACTGCACTAGAACCTGAAGTCTCTTCCAGGACAAAACTCATCTCAGGCTCGGGGTGGGAGGGGGACTAGTCGGGAGACCAAGGCCTGGGTTATCTCCTATTGATGATTTTAAAAAAACGAACCACAACACAACACCCCCCCTGTAACCTGTCGGAATTCAAATGCACACATTTGAGAGAGAGAGGATGAGGGGGGAGACCCCCCCATGAGTTCACTCTGCATTCATCCCTCCCACCCGATATTTTGGAAAAATGCAAAGCATTTTGTGGGCTTCGTTATCGTTTCACACTGCTCACTTCTAAAGTGCCGTGAGGTTCTCATGATGCAAACACCAGTGGTAATGACGATAGGGGTGGTTTTTTGGGGGGAGGGGGCGCTTTGATTGGATAGAGCAAAAGTTAGCTGAGAAATGCTACATATTCCAGGGGAGAAGAGACACACACACACACGCTCCCTTCGATCCGTCTTCTGGCCCACCCCACCCACCAATTCAGGACACTCCCCCACCACCACCTGAAGAATGCACAGCGCTTCCCATTACACAGAAAAATTAAAAAAGAG